TCTTTTTAGCTGGGCTCCAAGAAAACAGTTTCTTCTATTAAGAAGCAAGGAGAGAACGGACACAGGATAGTAGCTTACAGACAGTAAGTTCATTCTTAGGGAGAAAATGGGAAGGTAAAATTGTGCACATAGATAGATTTGTGAGCTGAGAGTCACACACGCCAATCCGTCTCCCCGGATAGATTGTAACCTTAGAGAAAGCAGGGTCCATTTCTCCCTTGTTCACAATTTTATTCAATTATGTAGCCCAATGTCTGCTACTCGTTAGCAATCTACATTTGTTTAATGAATGAATAAAATAAATAAGGGGAAAAGATGGGTAAATAAGTATACATGGCCTTCCAACACTCAGCATCATGTAAAACTTACTTGATGTTCTAATGTGGTGTGATAGTGTTTAGTGCTGTTCACTGAGTATTTCTGGTGCCCTCCCTCTGGGTACATGGTAGGATTACACATCCAGTGCTCCTTCTGTCTAGGTGAAGGCATGTGATTACGGTCAATGAGTTAGCTGTGAGCAGAAGCAACATATGTGTCTTCTGGGCCCACGGATTCAGTTGCCAACATGAGACCCATCAGGGCTCTCATTCCCACTGCTCCAGCAACTGACAATGTCAGAGCTGGGATCTCTCCATCAGCTTGGGTCTCTGATAAAGGGGACATGAAGCAGGTGACCTGCAGTGAGTATGTAGCAAGGTCTGTTTCCTGGATTCACCAACTTACTTTCCCCATTACACAAATGTAAGCCTTTTTAATGTAGTCAACTGAGGAAACATTTTAAATACCATAAAATATATCAAATTTATGTCATGGGTCCACTACCAACTTGACCTCTGAAACAGTGAAGTCAGCTTTTAAAAGTCAAGTTAAAAGTAATCATTTTGATATAACTGGCATAATGAAAAAAAATCCATCTTAAATAAAGATAGAACACTTAGGGTAAAATGTATTTTCAAGAAAAGCCTTTACCTTAGTATTTTAAAGTACCCAGAAATAGAAATTTTTCAAATATTAGTTGCATTTAAACCAAGATAAGGAATAGCACTGTAACAAATGGTACAATTAAAAGAAGTCTTTTTCTCTTTTTTAACTAGGCTCCACACCCAACGTGGGGCTTGAGCTCACGACCCTGAAATAGAGTCGCATGCTCTACTAACTGAGCCAGCCAGGCACCCCAAAAGGAGTGGTTTTTTTTTTATCCTTTTTGATACACATTCTAATCATGTGTAAATACACTCGCATGTAGTTGTACAATGTAAGTATTATTAAAGCATATAACATAGAAATACTCATTTTTTAGAGACAAACATCTCATTGTGGCACCTTTAAAGTATAGAATCTGGCTAATTGGCTTTGTTTCCCACTTTCTGAATCTATAATTAAATGCAGATTCTGAAAAATGATTAAAAGCTCTAATATCCTTTACCCTGAAATTGTGTGAACCATAAACATTAAAGCAACTTGGTTGATATCAAGCAATCTTACCTTTCACATATAGTACAATCAAACCTCTATTCTAAAATCCCAGAGAATTATTACAAGACGATGTTTAGCTTCTTCCAAAACAAGCAATTTTAGTTGCTTTTAGCCATCTTCCCCTAACATATGATTTCAGGGTTATTATGTTCTATGACTTGAATCCCCTGCACAGAAATATACATAACTAGATACTTAACGCAAGTTTGAGATTTGTTACCCTTTTCTGGAAGAGCTGATTATATTCCATGAGGGTGAAAAAGATGTTACATTGAAGCCTGTTACTTCACATAACTAATGGATAAACTACTCAGGCAAGAAGAGTAAATGGAAATAATTGGGTGTTTCTTTCCTTATAACTGAATCTTATAACTCCTATGTAGATAGTGCCAGCCGAGTGCAAATCGAAGCTAAACTTTTAACAGGCTCTGAAATTCAGGGTTTGCATGCTATTTTTATTCTCCAGTTTATGTCTAAATGTAATAAATAATTTAAGAGATTTACCATCACTTCCTTCATATAAAAAAAGGAAAAATCTGAAGGAGTTTAATGGTGTAGTGTAGGCAGTAAAAAGATGACACTATGAAAATTAAAATATTACTGGAGCCATGAATTTAAAAGATTTTAAGTATTCTCTCTCCACCAAACTACCCGGCCTTTTTTCTTTTTTTTAATGCTACAACGTTACATTTTTGGATCATGTTGGCGACTATAGACCAAAATGTCTCCATAACAATGCTAAGGAAATACCAGAGAATTGAACATTTCCAGATGAGCCCACAGGCAATTCCAATCCCCAGGTATTCGAACCTCATTTACTATTTTTTTTTTTTTTTGAGACTAGGTGTTTTCAATGGGAGAACACAATAACACAAGGCGAATAAGTACCCGTAGTATCACCATTCTAGTTCACATAATGTTTCGTTGCAGAGTCCTTAAAAATCGCCATGGACACACTCTCAGACAGGCACTTTGGTCCAGAAACCATATGCTCAACTAGACTATGAAAAACCTTATTGCAGACAGGGCATGTGCTTGGCAAAGCCATGGATCACCAGCTGGGCACTGCTTCCTCAAGGAAGCTCCAGCTGGGTGACACTATGGCATCCTTCCAAGGGCAATGGTTCCTTTTGGGCCATCAGAGAATCGAAAGAGTTTTGGCCCCTTATGGTTCAGTTGATCCATGTAGTCACTATGCAGACATGCGTTGTGAGTGGATGTGAATGTGCTCAGCCTGATACTTCCCCACGCCCATCCTTTGGTGTCCTTTGAGACACCCTCCCACCCACCCCACGGCCCAGTTTGCAGATTGCTAGTCACTTCGATTTTACTTTGTTTTCCATGATACAATATTCAGGTTCCACAGCTCTTAGGCACACACTCTGTGCCTCTTCCGACCTTAGGTAATGTAAACCTATTTTCTTCCTAACCTTCTTAAAAGAGGCTTAATGGAATTTTGAATTTTTCCTATTGCAAAAATTCTTAGGTTTTTGTCAAAAGAGATTTGAAATACCACATGAAATGATGTACTCACATCCTTCACCACCACCTCCAAATAACCGAATTACATAAATAAAACATTACATAGAAAGAGCTTTGCTACAATTTATGGGAGGTAAATTTAACAAGAGCTGGCTCATTGTAGGAAAATTCAACTTATCTTTTCCTGATCCTTTTATTCTATACAGGGAAAGAAATTTATGTCAGCTTGAAAAAAATCTATTACTGCTTCTCATAACTGAATCCATTATTTTTCTCTATGATCCATCAGGCAAAAACAAGAACAATAGATTGCTTTGACAGAACCTTGAACATAAACGTCTCCAAGAATCAAACGTAGTAAGTTAAACCGGTTTCAGGTGTTATTAAAACAAGAAAGGATAACCTTCTCTATACATTTCAAAATCAGATCTTACTAAGAAAGTTATTATTATTAGCTGCTACAAAAAAGATTATATAGTAGTTGAATTTTCACAATTAGACTCTGACTTTAAACAAATGAAGTTGTCCTCTACATAGTCAGCTGACTTAAACAATTAGTGTTGACCTTATCTTATACATCTTTCCTGTTTATAAAAAAAAAAAAAAAGCCAAGGGGCTCTATTATCAATAGCTCCACATGACCCATTTCAGTTTCAGAGAAATCTGAATGTATGTACACACACCTACCTACAACTGGGATTTTCTCCTTAATGGAAACCTATCCAGCATCTAATTTTATTCTGATAAGCCAACCTCCCAACTTGTCTCCAGGAAAAATGGCCACATTTCCAGTTTCAGTGGCAGAACTTATTCTAAGCCAATCAGCAATCAGCAAGTCTATTATTCATCAGCATATGACCCAATTTGCCTAACGAGAAAAAAGAATGATTTTCTTTAAAGATTTGAGAGAGAGAGACAGAGAGAGTAGGGGGAGAAGACCAGACAGAGAGAGAGAGAGAGAGTCTTAAGCCGACTCCCTGCTGAGCACGGAGCCCGACACAGGGCTCAACCTCACAATCCTGAGACCACGACCTGAGCTGAAACCAAGAGTCGGAGGCTTAACCGACTGCACTGCCCAGGCACCCCCAAAAAGAATGCTTCCTATGCAAGCTGAAAATGCAGAGAGAGAGGTTTCCCATTTTCTGCTACTAGATGAGGAGAAAAGAAAAGGGAGCCCCAGCTGCTACTGAGCCATCTGTGATTTGAGAATGAGGACAATGCTGGCGACAGAGAAGATAGCTGAAAGGCACGTGGGTCCCCGTCACTATCACTGAAGTGCTAATGATATGGTACCTGAAGCCCTCCCTACCTCTAGCCTTCCAGGCAGAGCTCACACATTTACTTCTTAATACTTCATCCACTTTGAATTCGGGTTTCTGTAACTGTTTAGATATGTTCTTCTCCTTTAAAGATGAGAGAATATACTTCAAAATCTTCCGTCTTTTCGTGGCTTGTTTCATTCATATTGCTTTACAGCAGAGATCTTTCAATATATCCTTGATTCTGAAACTACCTTTGAGAACTTTCCCAAATCATCTAATGGAGCACAAAATTTGATCCACCCGTTGCTTAAGAAGACAGTAACATTCTTACAAAGGTTAATGCACATTTAAGATGAATAAAAACCCTCTTGTCCTACCAGATGGAAAATACAGCTTCATAACCAGGGTCAGACATTATTCCTAGCCTCTAGATCTAAAACTGAGCTTGGCCTGTACTGTAATCAATTTAAAACTCTGGCCTATATGCCAAAGGTCCATCTTTTAAAAAATTATTCAGATATCTAAGCCATAGCAATCCTACTGCTCTCCTCTCCTGTTCCTAAACTATTTTACACTTATTTCTCAGATTTTGCAGGCTACTAGATGTTTCTCACAGACTTCCATAGATAATAACTCATCTGCTTTGCAATCTAATTCTTAACATGAGGAGATTAAAACTAATGTAGATGATTCTCAGATGACACATACTGAGGTACAGAAAAATCCCATCATTTCCTTCTACAAAAGGAGAGAAATTTTAATTCTTTTTTCAACAGCTGCTTCATTTTTTTATGCATAGGAAAAAATATGTGCAATTACTCCAAGTACAATCAAGTCATTTCACATGGCTTTACCATCACTGTAGTTACAGGGTATTTTAAAAGAGGAAAAAAAACATCTCAAAGCACAGGTCCTGCTGTGCAGCAAAGCAATCAGATTCCTTCATAATAACAGCCTGATGGGATTCAGCAATCCGAGGAATAATGAATAACCACTTTAATCAGTAAACAGGAAAATGCTACAACAGTCACTGAGTAAAAACTGACTATCATCTGTTGATCCTCTTGATCGGTATTTCAAACAATAAATAGAAATGTTTAAGTATTTTTTAAAAAGAAAAATAACTGTGTTTATGTGTTTGATTTTTGCCAGGCAGTGATAAAATATCATCTTAGACTGTCGTGCAGTGTTGCCCAGTCACATATAATGCACTTATAATCTTCTTCATAATACACGGGTAAGTTGACCCTATCACTTGAATATGTCAAGGTAAGCTCTTCTGGCAGTTGATTAATAAGGTTGTATTTCTGGACTGATTATTGAACTCTTTTGTTACTTGATTATTTAATGTTCTTCTTCAGTGTTCATCTTACAAAGTTATTTGTATCTGAAAATGAATAGTCTGTTTCAAAATAGTCTTCAAGTTTCCAATGCAGTTTCTCAAATGTTGGCCGTTCCTTAGGCTCTGCGTTCCAACACTCCCACATGATGTTGTAGAACTGTGGTGGACAGTTAAGTGGTTGAGGGAGTCTATAGTTTTGACCCAACATCTGGATTACCTGAGCACCTGTCATGCCTAAATAACATAGAAAGGAACCAACAAAAAACAAGTTAAAGTTCAGGGTCTTAAATTCATAGATAATTATATTAAAGATTATAAAGCAAACTGATTTCCTTGGTGGAGCTATGAGGTCTACCATCCCCTTCCCAGGCTGCAGAGATTAAACTACATCTTGCAGCAAGTAATGTCCATAAGAGTGCAATTCAAGAGCAAAGGAGAAAGAGGCAATAAACTACCTCATTAATGCAAATCATCATCATCAAATTTTATCTATTATGCTCCTACAGGCACATGGTATGGTCAGCCCCATAACTCTGCCCTCTAAGTCTGGGCAAAGTAGTTAAAGTCACACCTAAGTAAGTGATCTGCAGCAGAAAGGCCCACTTCAGAATTAATTACTCACCACTATAAGGCATTTTGCCATAAGTAATGATTTCATAAAGAAGGATTCCAAATGACCACACATCGGACTTAATGCTGAATTTATTAGCACGAATGGCTTCGGGCGCAGTCCACTTCACTGGCAGCTTTATGTCATGTTTGGATTCATAGATGTCTTCATTATCTACCTGTTAATGCATTAAGGAATCAAGCCAAGTTCAAGTGATATATATATATTTTTTTGCTACCCTCGTTCATCTGTAACCTCTTTCACATTAAAATTTAGAGGGAAAAGTTTCAAAATGAGCTTAGTTCAATTGATAATTATAGTAACAAATTCCAAATCTGGCTTATAAGACTGAGAAATCTATGAGAAGTTGTTAATAAAATATTATTTAAGAGCCTACTATGTGCTAAAAAGAGCACTGACAGGAGTACTCTACTGCATATGGGAGAACTCACGTGTGATGGTCTTCAGCAAATTAAAAAAAAAAAAAAATGAAAGCAAAGTCTGTCTGTTTCCAGACTTACTGTTGGTATTGGAGAGCCACCGACTTTAATAATTACCATGTTGCCACTTTCTGATACTGAAAAGTAGGATCCAAATGATTTAAAATAATATATCAAGTCACTGAGGTTCTAATTAACTTATTTAAAAAAGATAATGAATTCATGAAGATCAAAAGAGAATCATTTATATGTTGTGTTTCATGTTCCACACCCATATTTGTAGGGCATAATGTAGAAATTAAAAATTAAATTCAGAGAAAAACACCTAATAGTATGTCACTAATATCAGTGTCTTTTGGCCTGATGTCATGACATGGGGAGAGGGGCAGGAATTAAAAAGTCAGTGATTGCTGGGCGCCTGGGTGGCTCAGTTGGTTAAGCGACGGCCTTCGGCTCAGGTCATGATCCTGGAGTCCCGGGATCGAGTCCCGCATCGGGCTCCCTGCTCGGCAGTGAGTCTGCTTCTCCCTCGGACCCTCCCTCTTCTCATGCTCTCTCTATCTCATTCTCTCTCTCAAATAAATAAATAAAATCTTTAAAAAAAAAGTCAGTGATTGCTGAAGAGTTCTGGCAGCATGAATATTAATCTGGCAGAAAGTGAGCAAAGGTGGATGGGGTAACTATACAAAATGTGCTGCTTTTTGTAAGGAAAATTGAGGCAAACCAACAGAGGCTACTGTACTGAAAAGCAGATCATTAATCCAACCACAAACTTAATCACATACTTTCCCATCTGGTTAGGCATCATTTTCTCTGTTTCTTTCTCCTTGGTGAAGAAATAGAAACAGGAGGTAGTTTATCAGTAAGGCCTTGGGCTACTGAAGTGTTCTACAGACCACAGAATTTGGAGAAACATTATTTTGAAGAACAACAGTAAATCTGTTAGTCTGCTGGTATGTTAGACTTTTGACCTGTGACAAAACCTAGTTAAAACAAAACAAAATTCACCTGAAAAACTCTTGCAAGTCCAAAATCTGCAACTTTGTAGATATTATGTTCACCAACCAGGACATTTCTGGCAGCCAGATCTCTATGAATGTAGTTCTGGGACTCCAGATAAGCCATCCCAGAGGCAACCTGCGCAGCCATGTCTACCTGCTGAGTCAGATGGATTTTTGTCCCAGCATCATCTGAGCAATAAGAGAAAGTAAGAGACTGACTTTGGAGAACATGTGAATTATTGAAGTGAATTCTGAGAATTTTGATGAATGAGCTGTCAGTGGGATTAAATGCCATAGCACTGATCTGTTGAGCAAAGAAACATAATTAATACAGACCATTCATTTCCTATGAAGGGTCAATGAGGCAACAATTTTCAGAGTCCAAACACATTCCAAGGCTGTGGCCCCCTCTCCCCTGAAGGAACATTCCACAGAGAAAGAAACAACAGTATCACGTAATTCAAACACAGCTCTAAAGATCTGAAAGTGTCCAGGTATTGCCATTTCCCACACCATGCATCACTGACTCATCTCTTCATGGAAGAGTTACTTGGTTACTTGGTTGCCTCTAGATTTCCTTCAAACATTTCATAATTTTAGTCTTTGAAGCTATAAAATAATACTAATTTGCATGGCTGAGCCAATGAAAAGTTGTCATTCTTCCATCATATTGGGTTTTTTTTTCTATCGTATTGTTCTTAAAAACAAGCTCACTAACAAAAATGAAGGGTCTATCAGTATTTATAAAATGTGTATGTTACATTTGTACTCCATTAAGCTTGATATACTTTTTTTTAATTTCCCTTTTTAAGCCTGTTATTCTTAGAAATCGTTCACTCATCTCTCCAGGCATGGACATAGTTTCTACCACGACTCAGCCTATATAATTAAGTATAGGAAAGTAGACTCAGTTTGATCATTAGTAGAGAGGTTAGGGTTATTCTGTGCTGACTCTGTGCAGTGGGGTCAGCCATCCCTGGATACTGTTTAGCTACCATACTGTTAGTAGATGTCTTCAGATTTCTGGAGAATTAAAAAGGTCTCCTATAAATCCAAACTATCATCATCCCTGACTCAATAAGCCAAATATTACCAAAACTGTGTTGAATTCATGGTCAAGAGTCTTAGATACAACTTGACTTGAAAGGCAACTCTAGCTCAGGGGTTAGAAAACTGGCTTGAGGCTAGACTGCCAAGATCTGGATCAGAGCTTTGCCTCACATTTCTTCCTGACCTCAGGCAAGCTGTTTAACACTCCTGTGCCTCCGTTTCTTCATCTATATAGTGGTCATTGTAATTCCCTTATGGTATTAGTTGTTAAAATGAGAATTAAAATGAGTTAATGCATGTAAAGCACTTAAAGCAGAACCTGGCACCTAGAAAGAACTCAGTAAATCCTACCTGTTTTTATTATCATTGCTGCTGCCTAAGCAGAATTAAACAGTTTAGGAATTGTTAAGGCAGAGATGCATATGGATTACCCAAATGGAAATGCCTAAATGAAGACAAACATATGGGTCTGGAGCTCACATGCAGCTAAAGATATCAACTTAATAGTCATAGTTTGTGGGTAGGAGTTAAACATTAAAAGTGGGTGAGACGGTTAGGAAGTGACAGAATCATGAGAAACACCAACATTTCGGGTGGACAGAGGAAGATAAACCTACAAGAAGACAGAAAAATCAGCCAGAAGAATGAAAGATAAGCCAGAAGAGAGCATCCTAACAGTCAAAGGTTTTGAGAAAGGCACCACTATTGTCAAATTCCACAAGTCCAGCAAGATAAGGTCTAAAAGGTATTTATTAAATATTACTAGGCAGTCATTGGTGACCTTAGTGCATAAAGAGCACTTTCACTGGAGAGAGGGGATAAAGGGCTGAGGGCAGAATGGGAGCTGAGGATGTGGAGACAGCAGTTTCCAAACCCTAGTCCAGAAGGGAAGACAACAGGGAGTTGGCAGAGGAGAGTAAGTCAAGGGAAAGCAATTAGCAGGAAATTCATGATTGTGAGGGGCTGTCAATGATATGGCACTCAGGGGGTTTCTGGAGTGCTAGCCATGTTCTCATTCTTGATTTGTACAGTGGCCATACCGTTGTTTATTGCTCACTTTTAATTAACGATAAATTATATGATGTGTGTTCTTTATGCATGCCATCTTTTCAATAAAAAATGAAATAAACAGGGGCGCATGGGTGGCTCAGTTGGTTAAGCATCTGCCTTCGGCTCAGGTCATGATCCCAGAGTCCTGGGATCGAGCCCCGCATCGGGCTCCCTGCCCAGTGGAGTGTCTGCTTCTCCCTCTCCCTCTGCCCCTGCTTGTGTTCCCTCTCTTGCAGTCTCTCTCTCTGTCAAATAAATAAATAAAATCTTTTAAAATAATGAAATAAATAGAGTTGAGGACTTTTTTTTTAATGGTATAGATCTAAGCAGTGTGTGTGTATGCGTACATACATATATATTTATTTTTTAATGCAAGCAGCATATTTAAATACGATGTGTGGTGAAACTAAGTGCTCACTGACCCATTTTCTTTTGCCCTTTTCTTCCTGGGCAAACATAGAAGACTATGTTGCCCATCTTCCCTAGCAGTTAAATTGGGCCATGTCACTAATTCTGCGCACTGCAACGTGTGCAAGAGAGCACATTCGTCACTTACAGACCTGATCCTTAAAATCTCCCACATTTTATAGCTAGAAGAAATACATTTTGAAATGGCAGGGCCACATGATGAAAGGAGTCTAAATCCCTATGTCACCATTTAAAGAAAGCCATGTAGCAGAGCAAGTCTGATGCCTATCAAAAATGCATATTTTGTTATGTCACTAAAATGTTTGAATTGTGTATTACAGCAGCTAACATTGATTATTCAGTCTAAAATGAGATGTAAGCAAAAAGACAAAACAACTTTTTTTAAAAAGATTTTATTTATTGGGGCACCAGGGTGGCTCAGTCAGTTAAGTGTCTGCCTTCTGCTTGGGTCATGATCTCAGGGTCCTGGGATCGAGTCTCAAGTCAGGCTCACTACTCATCGGGGAGTCTGCTTTTCCCTCTCCCTCTGTCCCCCTCCTCTGCTTGGGCCCTCTCTTTCTCTCAAATAAATAAGATTTTATTTATTTATTTATTTGCTTACTTATTTATTTATTGAGAGAGAGAGAGAGAGAGAGCAGGGGGAGGAGCAGAGGGAGAGAGAGAATCTCAAGCAGACTCCACACTAAGCATGGAGCCCATCACAGGGCTCGATCTCACACCTGAGATCATGGCCTGAGAGTCAGACTCTTAACTGACCGAGCCACCCAGGTGCCCTGAAGACAAAGCATAACTTAGTGTGCAGCATAATAGCAAAGTATTGCTGCTGCATTGGCCAAAATAGCTATGCCTTTTGATACCAAATTAACTCAATATGAAAAGAAATGTAAAAAAGTCAAGATAAACTGGTGACTAGTCCCAGGTCAAGTGATAGACAGTTTCTAAAATGGCTTCTCATATTCTCTATTTCCTGGTATTTGTGCTCTTATGAAAGTCCCTTCCATTAAATGGTTTGGACCACTGACTCACTTCTAACAAATAAAATACAGCAGAAGTGATGGGGTATGATTTCCAAGATAAATTATAAAAGACTGTGGCTTCATCTTGCAGGCACTCTCCTCTCTCTTGCTCTCTCACTTGTTCACTCTGATGAAGCCAACTGCCATGTTGTAAGTTGCCCTATAGAGAGGTCCATGTACCAAGGATCACAGGGCAGCTTCAGGCCAACAACCAGCAAGAAACTGGCTTCCTCAATCCAACAGCCCTGGAGAAACCAATTCCTGCCAACAATCACATGAGTGAGCTTGGAAATAGATCAACCTCCCCTGGAGCCTTCAGATAACTGAAGCACCTGCCAACACCTGACTGCAGTCTTGTGAGAAACCTGGTCGTAGAAGACCCAGCTCAGCTGTACCTGGATTCCTGACCACAGAAACTGTGAGATAATAAATGCTTGCTGTTTTAAGCCACTAAGTTCGGGGTAACTTGTTGTGCAGCAATAGATAATGAATACAGGTTCACGTTAAGAAACTAATGCCAGTGTTATGCATACAGTTAAAAGCATAGAATACAGAGCCAGACTTCTGGGTTTGAATTCTGGCTCAACCACCTTGGATAAGTTATTAACCTCTGCATCCCTCAGCTTCTTCCACTGTAAGGTGGAAATGATGACGATAATAATAATAATAATAATAATACTCATTTCATCGGGTTGTTAGAAGAATGAACTAAGTTAATATTTGTACAACACTTAGAAAATGCCTGGCAGGGGTGCCTGGGTAGTTAAACAGGTGATTAACCTTAATCAGTTGGTTAAGCATCTGATTCTTGGTATCAGCTCAGGTCATGATCTCAGGGTCATGGGATTGAGCCCTGCATCTGGCTCCATGCTCAGTGCAGAGTCTGCTTGTCCCGCTCCCTCTCCTTCTGTCCCTCCCCCCCTCCCCCCACCACTCATGCGATCACTCTCTCGCGCTCTCCAATAAATAAATAAATAAATAAACAAATAAATAAATAAATCTTTAAAAAAGAAAGCAAGCAAGAAAAATGCCTGGCACATAGTAAATACTATACAGTGGCTTTTTTTTTTTTAAAGAAAAAAAATGAATATATATGCACTTCTCCTACCACTATCCCATATGGTTGATTTTCACTACATCACCTCATTTTATGCTCAGAACTATCTGAAGTAAGTATTGTTATTATTTGTCCCCTTCCACAGCAGTTTCTGCTACTTAGAAGAACAGGTAATAAGTTGTAGAGTGGAGATTCAAGTTCGGGCATGTTTGAGGTTGAAATCTCATGCTCTTAAAAACTATTCTATACTCCTTCCTTCCTAAAACTTACCTTACACATGATTCCTGAGCACCTGAATGGTGGGGCTACAGTTGTAGTCAGCTAAAGAGTATCTCAATGAAAACACTCCTGTCTATTTCAGGCCATCTAAGTGAACTGTCCATGAGATTGATTAACAACATGCTAGGACTTTATTTATTTTAAAAAATATGTACGTATATAAAAAAAATGCAGGTATTTATTCTCTTTAAATTTCAATAGGAAATACCTGACATCAATTGCCCTCAAAGCTAAAGTTTTTTGACAAGCTTCTTCCACTTTGGAGAAATTTATTACAAAAAAATATTTAGCCAAGCTTAGGGACTACAAAGATGGTTCTATGGAAAAATATGTATGTCATTTCAACTATGAAATATGACATCTAATCCTATTACAGTGGATATAAAAAGTTTTCACTGACAGGCACAATAGAGAAGAAAATTGAGGAATAACACGTTTTCTACCCTGAAAGACTGCAGTGGCCTAGGAAATGCCCAAGTAAACCTCAGAACACACTTCCGGTACAACAGTCAGTTGTCAAAACTGATATAAAGGTTCAATTTACAATTTACATCTGCTGCAAGAAAATATTTTCAATTATGTTCCATTACTCAAGAGTCTTTCATCTTATAACAGTTATCATGATGGACTGTTTAAGAGTGGTAGATTCATTTTAAGATCACTTTGTTGAATTTAAGCCCTCTTGATTGGGAAGGGATTGTCTGTAATGAGCATCTCTTCATTACTCCTCATGGCTACTAAGTGTCTTGACAAATGAAGGCCTTGGTAAACTTGACCCTTAAGGCCCAACTCACAATATGACAGGGTTTGTGCTGACCCCTGTGTAAAACACATCAACAAACCACAAAAATCCTCAATGTCAAAGGAGTTCATAATTAATAAGTGGATCTTGTCAAGCTGACACAAAGAGTCTCAAAACAAGCTCAACCCCGAGTCTTGATATTAGGTTCAAAATAGCCCCACTTAGTTTATCCATTAATTTTCTCATTCAGTCAGGCAACACATTCATAATTAGTGCACACCTTCTATGTGCCTGACACTGTTCTATCACTAAAACAAAGAAAAATTTCTAACCTCCTGGAGTTGTATTTTAGAAGATACTTACAATAAGCCACAAAACAAAGTCATACATTATAAGATGATCAGCAGCTAAGAAAACAAAACAAAACAAAACAAAAAGCAGGAAAGAAGCATACAAAGAGACAGAAGAAGAAGATTAAATTTTAGAATTCAGAGGGTGACCAGTGAAGGACTCACCATAATGGAAACATCTGAGGAAAGACTGCAGAAGTGAGGAAGTGAGCCACATGGATGTTAATGGGGGTGAAATTCAGATAGAGGAAGGAGCAAGTGCAAAGGGCCTGAAGCAAAGCACATGTAGAAGATATGAAGAGCAGCAAAAGGCAGTGCGGCTGACACAGAGTCAAGGGAGATAAGGGAGATGTTGGGGGAGACGTGGAGACAAGGGAGAGAGGTAATGGAGAGCTGGGCCATGTAGGACTTTAGAGGTTGTACACAGAGAACCAATGAGAGTCACTGAGGCTTTGAGCTGAAGAGGGACACGATCTGATTTACATTTTAACAGGATCTCTCCAACTCCTGTGTTGAGAAGAGACCGAGAGGAGCAAGAACCAAAAGAAGGAGACCACTTAGGAGGCTGCTGCACCATCCAGAAAAGAGCTGATGACGGCTTGGACCAGGGTGGGCGTGCAGAGAGGTGCAAAATCCTGGATATGTTTTGAAAAAAGTCAGTTGGATTTGCTGATTGGTTAGATGGAAGCTGTGAGAAGTAGAGATGATCCAAGGGATTAGGCTGAGTGTTGACATCATCAAAGAAGGAAAGACCACAAGAGCAGTCAATTATTGAGGATAATATAAGATCAGTTTTGGACATGTTGTTTTGAGATTTTTAATGGACATATGTAGTAGAAATTCTGGCTGTTCACAAACATTTATTTTTTTCTTCTTTCAACCATGTTAGAGGATTTTACTTCCCTATTCCCTCTGACTTGGTTTGACCAAATAAAAAGGCACAGAAGTTATCTCTGCATCTGCCAGTTGGAGCTCTAAGAGCCAGAACGAGATTAGTCTCATCCCCTTTCCCTGCCAAGGTGATCAAAACACCTGAGCCACCAACCAATCTATTTTGCACACATAATATGAGCAAGAAATAAATGCCTCTGGGATTTGGGAGAGGGGGTGCTGCTGCATCACATCTATGTTATCCAGAGAAGCATTCAAGTAGAGTCAAGAAAGCAGTTGGATTTCTGATTCTGAAGTAATGGAGGGATGTAATTTGAGAAATCTTTGATACATAAATGTTATTTAACCCTGAGACTGACTGAAATTAGCAAGGGAACTAGTGATGTTGCAAAATTCCAAAATGTTGAGAGGTCTGAGAAATGAGAGAAACCACATAGATGGGAGAAGAACCAACAAAAAAGAGAGGAGGAAAAGCCATTGAGTGAAGTGTCCTGGAAGCCAAATGAAGGAAGTGTTTCCATTATTTCAAGTCCATTGAAATAAATGCTATGGATAGGTTTGAGGACTGAGAATTGACTATTAGATCTACCACCATGATTGTTACAAGTGGCCTTGACAAAGCATTTTTGTTAAAGATGACCCAAGATGGCTACTGTACTTTTGTCCCTGGGAATAAGGCAAAGCGGGTCAATGGCTGAGGTTAGTCTTACTCTGGTGGCTAATATATTCTGATAATTGTTAAATTTGCTATCTTCATGCAAAGGAGCTAGGCATATTTTTTTAACAGCATTTAACAGGCCCATGTTCTTTGTTCCTCTTTTCCACTTTTGCGATTTAATACCACCAGCTTCACAAGTCACCCTGAAATCAGAGAATACTCTTATCTTTCTAATATCTTTGTTCTATTAGTCTCACCTCCCTTTACCTGTACACGTTCTATCAATCCCACTCTGACATTTCAAGAAAGCATAGAAAAAGTCTCTTTTTTAAGCATGAATTATTCTCTCGGTACTTGATCTCCACTACTTTGAACATCTCATTTTAATACTCATTATATTCTTGCATATTAAATTATTCATTTGTAATAAACATCAAAATTTCACAATGCCCTTAAGTCTTCTCTGACTACAGGAAGCAGATGTAGAAATAAAGCAATAGTATATTTCTGCTTTTTAGTCTGAAAATTCTAACACTGCCTAGCAGTGGAAGTATTTTTTAAATACCAACAAGTATGATGTTGTCAAACACTGGCAAAGGAAAAAGAATGAGGGTACCTCTCCCTCTATCTCCCCAAAAGTATTCCATGTCCCCTAATTCTGGGCCATAGAACAAACTGGTCCATGACTGATAATGTTCCATTAGTTATTATAGGAAACAAAGCATCATGTAAAACATGGCATCTCATAGTCTTCAGTTTTCTACATTACATTTATGTGTTCCAGTATGTCTATTGTGAACAACTTGTTCTTCGCTACATAAATATTTTTCCTCCTTTTGGCACACAGTATATATCCTATTAAAATGTAGTTGAGCCATTCACTGTTAAGACATTCATTCTCACAGATACACACATTGGGTTATAGAAGGCTTGCTAAATTGACATTTATAGGACTAGCTAAACTAAATTCCTCATTTTTTTCCCCTTTTATTAAGTCTTTAGCTTACTTTGGAGATATTCTTGCAGACTTCCATGTCTCATCAACTCTGTAATAATATAAATTGGATCTTCTAAAGTGCAAACAGCATAAAGCTGGATAAGCTTTGGATGTCTCAGGTTCTTCATTATCTGTGCCTCCCTCAGGAAGTCATTTGGATCCATTGAACCTGAAACAAGAAAAGAAGGGAATCACTTTACGTTATTGAGGCATTCCTATCCTCACAGCAGTCTGGTGGGAATCACTAAGACCGCTTCCTGCTTCTCAGTAAAGTAAGAGCATCGGTGTCACAAATCTTCAGATTTATCAAAGAAGAGAATGAGCCCAACCAGGGCAACCTAAAGCTGACGTGTTGGTGCATCAAGGGGGTGTAATTTATGTGTTATGACCTGTAGGTGAAGAGAGGCTGATGCTGGTCCATATGAAAAATGAAGGGAAAAGGAGTGACTAACAGTCTAATTGATAAAACAAGGCCGGCAAATTAAGAACACAGAGAAGACATTCTATTACCATGAATGCTGGAGGACACTGAATCTTTAATTACTGCAGCCAGAGCTTTTTGGTCCAGGATCCAGAGAAGACTGATAGCTGCCCTGTCCCTGGTACCCACTGTGGGAACAGCTGCATAACAATCCTAAAGCAATGACATTCTGCCATATTTATGTCCTTCATTCTGTAGGGATATTTGGTATAGGCCGAGGAGAAAACATTCAAGGGCTACACCCAAAACTTAGTGGGTTGTTTTTTTTTTACCAGTCTTCTACATCTAACTTGAAATTGATCTTCAACATTTTCTCCTATATTAATACTTCTGTAGTCAGACTCTTAAGAGCTTAGCAGAGTGATAAGGAGACAGTATTGGGACCTATTATGAAGACTTGCCTCAATTAAATTGTATTTTAATGGCTCAACTCTTACCATGCAAAGTGCCAAGTAGTTAACAACAAATAAAGTCTAAGAGGAGGAAAGATACCTGGAGTTTATATTTCATCAGTAATTTTTAAAAATCTTTCAATTTTTTTTTAGGATAGGATGTTTCAGAGACATTACTGTAACTGAAGGAATACTGTCATTTCACATCTCAGTATTCACAATGGATAGTGCAATATCATATCCACTGATGCTCAAAGAGACTGTTCCATTCATCTGTTGCATGATGACTTCATGACTGATATTTGAACCCAGGCATGGATAAGCTTTGACATTCTAAGATAACACTCCAACTTGTTTACTGATATGAAGTTAAGAAGAGTTACATGTGACTTGCAGATCATTTCACATAAAGCATTTAGGCAGTCTATCCTTTGGTATTCCCTTGAGAGTAGAAGTTCAGAACACAAGCTTGGTCAAACTCTGGATTCTGATCAAATCTTAGCTCACTGTGTGATCTTCAGCAAGTTACCAAATGTCTCTGAACTTCAATTTCTTCACCTGTAAAACATGGCTAAAAACCCGACTGATATCACAATATCATCACCAGGAAACAGCAATACCTGGCATATATATATATATTCAATGACTATTGGCCATTATTTGTATTATTATTAATATGCATACTCTAGGAAAAACCAAACACATCAACTCTATTTTTTCACAGACTGAGGAGGAGAAGGGGCAAGGACTCAAAGAGGGGGAATAGAGAAAAATGACCTGTTCTCATTTCCATCATGATTTTCTGTGCTTCCTCATTCCATCCGTACCATTGGTTTGCTCCATATAATCAAAGAGTGGCAAAATGGAGCAGAGAAGAAAAGAGGCACCCAAAACATAATAAAGGACTTTCTTCTTGTTACAATTAGTCTGGCCTATGGTCAAATATGGATATAGTGGAATTCTCCTCACCCACCCCCAAAATAATCTGATTCATGAAGCTTCCAGTGATAAAAGCAATTATGATCACCATTCAGGCAATTTATATATACAGTATGTTTCTACCCTAATGCTTTGGTAGCCATCAGATTCGTGGAATGCAGGACACTCAAATCATTGCCAAATCAGACTCCGCACAAGAGCTGGACCCACGGGACATCAGGAGCCTCTGCAGGTGACGTCTGCTCAGAGCACTCCATTGCATCGCTGGTTATAGCTGACCAGCTGCAGAGCAGAGACCCAATTTCAACTCAGCTAGTAATGCAACATTAAATATTAATTTTTGCCTGTCAGAGCTACTGTGGGAGTTGATTTCAGGCTCGTCTTTATTGCGTGGTAGTCTGCTAAGCAATAAATAGCTGCTAAGATTGATTAATGGCCCCGGTGAAGTGAAGACATTTAACCAATCACCAAAGCTGTTTGCTGCTATTACACTGTAAATCAATAATAATTATTCCTGTTGGAGAGAAAACTATCATGGCTTTTTTTTTTAATATAAGAAATGCGATTTTTTTGTTGTTGTTCTCTTTTGACCTCCAGAAGGCTTTCCTTCAAGAACAATGTTAGGATGAATAGCTGGCTGCTTTGTTTTTGGAAAAGAATGATTAGACTGGGAAATAAAGCTTAGGCTCAATTGTCAACAAGCTCAGGTTTCAAAATAATATATATGCAGTGATTGGGAAAATCTCAGGTGCTGGAATAGATCGTCCTCCCCTGGAGTGTTCACATGACATCTGGCCACTCAAAAGTGCTTCTCCATCACTTCAGAAGGCAGGTGTAGATGCTGAGACCGAAGTCCTGCACTAGCGAATCTGCACCTCAGTGGACAGCTGTCGGCAGCCCCACTGAAGCTAACATTTATTAAGAACTCACTGCATATATTTTATATACATTAACTCAATTTGTCCTCATAAAACCCTGTGAAGTAGGAACTATTATAATTCCCACTTCCAGATGAGGAGATTCAAATGATCAATAAATTGTCCAATGTCACAGAGGCCAGAGCCAAGGTTGAACTCAGGTCTATCTTAGACCAAACTTTATGCTCCTACTATTACACCAGAGCAGCCCCGACTTTCTCGCTTCACGGCACCTTCACTGTCTCAGGAACTTTTTTCATGATGCCCCTAAGCCAATATCCAACAGTTCTATTGATTACTTGGTTAAATCAAAGCAACTTTAAAAGTATTTGTGTCCCAACAACATTAATATCCATTTTAAAAAGTAATACAGATAAATCAAAAGAAAAAATAATTTTTATTTCATTCTTAATCGCAATTACTTACTAAAGAGATACACGCATCTATGGGGCACAGTACAATTTCTGAAGTCTTGGAAGCAGAGAGAACATTGCTCCCCTCATTTCCTGCCCCATGTTGATTTTTGCTTGGATCTTGAGTGTGATCCCAGTCCCCACCAAAAACCCATTTTCACAAAGATATGATGTCAGCAAAGGGAATGTGACATGATCTAATACTGAACTGTGTTCAAGCTGTTTACCCCAAAACTTTGAAATATCCTACGACACTCCTGTGAATTCACTGTGGTGCCCCGATGTGCCTTGGCACACAGTTTGGGAACCATGGTGTTACACAAGACTGCTACCCAGCAGCATCCAGATGCTCAAGTTCTGCCACCAGAAGGCTTTCTGAACCCTTAAGATTCTGGGTTAGGTAAAGAAGGAAGGTCCCCCAGAGAACTATACTCTAGCCTCTGGTTATTATTCTTGCCTATGTTATTAGAAGTAGATATGAGGCAACTACAGTAATGTTGTACTGTCATGGAATGTTACTTCCCTGGGGTGATGCAATAGGGATAGATGTGGGTTCAAATTCCAGCTCTGCCACTAACTGACCTTACAGTAATAATAATAATAATAATAATAATAATAATCAAAATAAGAACAGGTTTTCCTGGTCACTTACTATGAACCAGACATTATTCAAAGCATTTGCACTAATGACCCTCTTTTTTCCAAATGATAAAACTGAGACTTAAAGTAGTTTAAAACTTTACCCAAGTTCATAGGACTAGTAAGTTTTAGGAAAGTTACTTAATCTTTCTAAATTTTCTTATCCTGCTTTTAAAATGGAGGGGATAATGCCCGGCAGAATAAATATGATTTTAGTGTACTTTTAATTTCCATGATAGGAAAAAGGAAAATGGAAGAAAAAACTAGTTCCTACATTTCCAAATGTGAGGGCTTTTAGATGGACACTTTTACTTTTTAACCATAAACAATTAGTATTTAATAAAATTGTTTCTCCCCGAAGATCTCCAAGGTTCCATTGATTTGTTAAGTATTTTCAGTAAAGTCAGTATTTTTCATGAAGCCTAGGAAAAAAATGGGAAGAGGGATAATCTGAACTCTGAAGAAGAGATGCCTTGTTGAAATCTTGCACTGGGACTATTTTAAGCATTAGTTGATCACAGGAACTTGCTCTTGCCTTTACAGTCCAAAGCAAGATGTTCTGCTTTCTTGTCACCTGGTCCAGAAAAAGTGATCACAACACTTGCGTGATACCTACATTGGCTGTCCTGTGACCCCTTGGACATTGACAGTAGCAAGCTGAGCTTCTAAAAATCGACATCTGACATTTAAACTTTGCCATTCTCAGTCTCATACCTGGTTTTAATGTTTTTACTGCTACTGAAGTGGTATTGTTCCATAGGCCTTCCCACACTTCACCAAATTGACCAGATCCTAATCGCTTCAGAAGCTGTATGGACTCGCGGTCTATCTCCCACTGGTCCACGGTTTTATACGACAAATCAAAAGGCACTGGCACTTGTATCTGTTTCACAGAATAATTAGAATAATTATAAGAAAAGGATTTAACAATTTTTGGGGTTGAAAATAATAGTCTAGGCACTTTTAAGAAAGACACCATTTTTAAAACCAAAATATTGTACATTTTATTCTAATTACTTTAAAATGAAAAGCAATCATGGTAGAATCTGTAACATTGCCTCTTTGAGCTGATCTCCCCCCAAGTCTTGCTACATCAGGCTACCTGCTGTCCATCTGTCCCACCCCATATCCAATGCTACCCTTACATGGCTCTGGTGTGATTTTCCTCTGACTTTTTGCCTAGCCAAATCCTCCCAATTTTAAGGTCCATTTGAAGTTTCACCTCATTAGCAATTACTTCCCAAATTCTTTGGTCTATAGCATTTACCATATGTATCATATATTTTTGCATAATTAAAATGTTCATCTTGTTTCAAATTCATTTATTTGTTCATTCATGTACTTGTTCAATTAGTAAATACATGTTTTTCAAGCACCAACAAGGTGCCGTTCTGTAAACAGAACAGACAAGATCCCTGCCCTCATGGAGTTCATCATCTAGTTCATTATTGACCATCAGAAATTATCTTAGCTCCTCTGCCAAATCATCAGCACGTTGAGTACACAGAAGGTGTAGGCTTCTTTGTGAACACTTGTCCCCACCAGAATTCAACAATATTGGTTAAACTGAGTATTTTTTAAGCCACATCTTTGCATCAGGTAAGCTATTCTTAACATGAGCTTACATATTCTTGTGGGGTCAGGCCTATACCATCCAAGATGCACATAGTTATACCAAAATTGCATGTTCACTTGGCAAGATTTAAGTCAATGAATTCCCTACATATGGGACAAAGTTCTTCAACTTCTACTTGTCCATAAAATTTTGGTCAGGTGTTACCAGTAACCCTTCACTGATCATCCAGACATAAACCACAGGGCTGGCTGTCCCACTGACAGGACATGAGACCTGAACTCTGATGAGGAGCTGAGGTTTTGCCCCACGACAGTGAAAGACCACTCCATAACTTTAAATAAGTCTAGGTAAAACATGCAACAACTGAATAATGATAGATGTAGATAAATTCTATAAATGTTGTTTGGCCTGGTCACACTGTTAGAAAAGTTAGTTAAATGACATCTCTATGCAGACCAGATAATGAGTCTAGTAATTTCATATTAATATTCTTGAATACAGATCTAAATAAGAATTATATTTGGGCACTTTTTTCCCCTCCAGCCATATCATTAAGTGCTCCAGTGGCAGGATATCAGATTAATTTCCTAGGGCAAAGAATGAATATTTTCTGTCTTGAGTGAGTGCCTTAGGTCAGGGGTTGGCAAACTTTTTCCGAAAAGAATGTGACAGTAAATATTTCAGTCTTTGTGGGCCATGAGGTTTCTGTTGCAACTATTAAACTCTGCTAATATGGAGAAAAAGCAAAGACAATTTGTAAATGAACGAGCATGCCTATGTTCCAATAAAATTCAGTATTTAAAAAATAAGTGTGGGACAGTATGGCTCATAGGCCATAGTTTGTCTATCCATGCCTCAGGTAATCAAATGACCTTTTTTTTTCTGAACAGACAGATCACATGAGAGATACTCCAATATCTGAAGGAAAAAAGTTAACTTCAAAATGAACACAGCTTGAAAGCATTTCACCTTTAAACATGGTTTTCCCAGCAGGACACACAGGCCATCACTTGTCTTGGTGTAGTAGCTCACAAATTCATTCAGTGTTGAAAAGGTTCTTCTCTGGGTAAGGAAAAAACCCCCTTCATCCAGTCTTCTGATTCTGTAGTGTTTCACAACCCTTGCATCTAAAACTAGAACCCAAAATAAGTCCTATTAATACACTTCTTGCCAAAGCCAAGCAGATTTACTTATTTTGCGGTGATAGTTTCAATGCATGGAATAAAATTTTCGAAAGTTCTATTTATTTCACAACTTGGTTTCAGAAAAGACTTCAGGAAGTTTACAAAAGATATATAGCAGAAGAAAAAGGAAAAAGAATTGGGAAATCACATTTAAAGGAAATATAAAATAAAAATAAAGGAGTGAGGTAACCACTAAAAAAGCTAGGCTTTGAGGCCTCTTTGACTCAATTAAAACAAGACATAAAATTGACTCTATCATTCTAGGGGTACCTGGTTCATCCAGTCTTCTGATTCTGTAGTGTTTCACAACCTTGCATCTAAAACTAGAACCTAAAATAAGTCCTATTAATACACTTCTTGCCAAAACCAAGCAGATTTACTTATTTTGCAGTAATAGTTTCAATGCATGGAATAAAATTTTCGTAAGTTCTATTTATTTCACAACTTGGTTTCAGAAAAGACTTCAGGAAGTTTACAAAAGATATATAGCAGAAGAAAGAGGAAAAAGAATTGGGAAATCACGTTTAAAGGAAATATAAAATAAAAATAAAGGAGTGAGGTAACCACTAAAAAAAGCCAGGCTTTGAGGCCTATTTGACTCAATTAAAACAAGACATAAAATTGACTCTATCATTCCAGGGGTGCCTGGTTGGCTCGGTGGGTAGAGCATGCAACTCTTGATCTCGGGTTCGTGAGTTCAAGCCCCATACTGGGAGTAGAGCTCACTTAAAAAAAAAAAAAATTGACTCTCATACTAGCAATACCAAGAAGCAAACATTATCAGTTATAGAAATACCATAAGATGAAATCATAAAAGTTGTTTAGAAACAGTTCAACTCTTCCTGGTACAGAGACCATGGAGAATTTTCTCCCATGAAATCCTATAAAGTGTCCTCAGTACTACCCAACAATAAAACAGTGTCCTCAGTACTACCCAACAATAATATAAGGAATTCTGCAGGGCAGCTCGTTATACTGTCTCTAAATGCAGGCCGATAACAGAATGTCCAAGCACAGTTCAATAAAAGCAATTCCATAGGGCCTCAAATAATGCAATCCATGTATACAACTTTCCAGCACTATTAGCTTGATCCAAGGACAAGTCCTATAACAGCTAAAGGAATGAATAGACTGCACACCCTTTTTCAAATCATCTGACTTAGAGTATTTTTTTGCTTTTGCCTGCCACCAACCATCCTCCCTTCTTCTGATAATAGCACCCCAATTTTCCTCAGAGAATCATTGCTCCTCTAAGAGCATGTGGTCCAAAGGTACGGGTGCCAACCCTGAGCCAAGGAATGAACAGAGCCAATAAGCCTCAAATCCAGGAGGAAAACAGGAAGAAGTCTGTTGTTATGGTGGTTGTTTTGGTTTGGTTTCTGTTTAACTGCTGGAAGTTTGGAGCCCCTGCAAAATCTTGCCCCCAGGCAGGGAGAGAGCTTGCCTGAGAAGCTCTTCCCTTGATATGGGAAGTGAAGCTTAGCCTCCGGAGCCCCCCAAGCTTGGCTTCTCAGCTAGAAGCATCAATCAGTCACCTTTTTTATTTAAACTAGTTTGAATTAGGGGCTTTTTTAAAGCACTTGCATTCAGAATACTGCCTAATACATTTCATAAGCTTGTCTTTCATTTAGCAAAGTTATTGGTAAGTATTGAGCAGCATTTACCAGGGATACAGATATTCTGAATTCCCTGCTAAATATAGAAACTTGTGCTCCAATAATCGGTCAAGCTGGAGCAATGCTCTCATGAAAGGAAAGAAGACTGAGTAGAAGACAGCTCAATCCCAGCGTTGAGGTTTACTGAGGGCACGCTGCTGGGAGGGACAATGTTTTCCTCACAGAATAATCAGTGCACATCACAACGGCTAAAATTAAAAAAAAAAAAAAACAAAAAAACACAGACAATAACAAGTGGTGACAAGGAAGTAAGAGTAACTGGAACTCTCATGCACAGATGATGGAAGTGTAATTTTCACAATCATTTTAGAAAACTGTCATGATCTACTAAAGTTGAACATAATCATACCTATAGGATAGTAATTCCACTCCAACGTATGTAACCAACAAAATGCACAATATATGCACCCCAACACAAGTACAAGAATGCTCTTAGCAGCATTGTTTGTAAGAGTCTAAACCTGGAAACAATCCAAATGTCCATCAACTATAGAACAGACTAAGAAATTATTTTATGTTTGCCCAGGGAATACTGTACAGATATGTAAATAAACAATCTATAAATACACACATCAACATGAATGAATCTCACAAATATTATTGAAAACTATTATTTAAAACCATTATTTAAAAACTAGCAAAACTACTGACATTTGGAGTCAGACTGGCATGTTCGTAAGATTCTTTCTTGACTGGGTGCTGGTTTACATGGGTGTATTCACCTTCTGAATGCTCATCAAACCAAACTCTTACAAATTGTGTACTTTTGCTACATATGTCACACATCAATTTAAAAGAATTTTTTTAGGGGCTCGTGGGTGGCTCAGTTGGTTAAGCGTCTGCCTTAGGCTCAGGTCATGATCCCAGGGTCCTGGGATCGAACCCCACATTGGGTTCCCTGTTCAGCAGTGAGTCTGCTTCTCCCTCTGCCCCTGCCCCTCCCTCCCCTGCTTGTGCTCTCTCTCTCTTTCTCCCCCTGTCAAATAAATAAATAAAATCTTTGAAAAAAAGAAAAAAGAACTTCAATGTTCTCTTACCAAAAAAATGTAAATATGTGAGGTGATGAATGTATTAATTAACTCAGTGGGAGTAATGCTTTCACAAGTATATGTATATCAAATCATCACATTGTAAACTTTAAATACCTTACAATTTTCTCAATTTTTCCTCAATAAAACTGAAAAAAAGAATCCCATCATCTGCACACAGAAAAATATTTTAGTTTTTCATAATACAGAGGGTGGGAGTACATTTAGATTCTCCAAAAGCCATATAAGTTTCTTAAGTTACAATTTTTGAAGTATCTGCAACATATTCTTATACTCTCTGATTTGTCAAGTTACCATTCCCACTGACTGTGACTCTTGGGACAATGTTAGTTGCCCTGAATAATCATCACCAAATGGAAGGTTTTATCAAGATATAGAACTAAGCTCATAACAATCCCTATATATGGATTAAAAGGCTAACAGAAAAATCAAGGAGAGCTGTCAACAATATTAGCCCAATTTATTTCCCCACAAAGTAATAAAAATATTAGAAGTAGAAAGGTAGCTAAATAGAAAGCATACCTGCAATTTCTATAAATGATTGGCCTGAAAATTCAAGCTTTCCCATTTATCAAACAGAAAAGTGCATAAATTATAGCTGAGATGTCTAGCAAGCCAATGGGGTTATAATTGGAAATGATTGGAAGCAATAAAAAAAATTCCCCACTTTTAATCAAGATGGACAATATCTGGTTTCAAACTGAAGTGGATGGTGTGGAAATTAAACATAAACAGGAATGCCTTTTTGATGCACCACAAAAGATCTAAAGATTTCCAAGCTAGAGACTAAAATCAATAAATGACTGAAGGGTTAAAGTACTCCCTGTGATTTTCTTAATAAGGGATGCAAATTTCAATGATTGATATGGCTTTGGCAACTGTTATTGATTATAAAGAAAGCCTAAATAAATGTTTGCCAACTCTGTAAAGGTTTCAATTCTCAACTGTAAAAACCAATACTTTGCAATACATTTAGCATTCTCAAGCACAATAAAAGTAATTTTGTTTAATAGAAAAAGCAATAGATCTGGAAATGGGAGACCCAGGTTACAATTTAACTTGTGTATGACCAAAAACACATCAATCTCACCTGGTTTCAGTTTCCCCAACATTAAAATAAAAGAGCAGGCTTTAAGAAATTTCCAAATTTCCAATTGTTTCCACCTTAGTAATCAAACATTTCTGATGGCTGTTGCTTTCTCTCCCTGAATTCCCATTATGTGTTGTAGTCCTTTCAAAAAACAAGTAATTCTCACCTCTGAGCCTAGAGCACCACTTACTTGGATGCTTTTCCTACAAATCTGAATCGACTTATGGCCGGCCCTTCCTTCAGATCTCAGTTTAAATCCTCAGAACCACCCTTCTCCACCCACCCTATTGAATACACTTTTCCCCAGCTCCCTCCTATCACCCCGTTTAACTATGAAATTATTTATCTCGGTAGAGGTGGCTCCCTGATGGCAGGGGCTCTGCTGTTTTGACCCAGTATCTAATCAGAGTTTGGCACAGAGTAACAACTAACATAAACATCTGCTAAATGAATGGAGATGATTCACCAACCCTTGAATTTGAAGTGACATATAAGCTTCTGAAATGTCTGCTGCAAAATTAAATAGGGAATTATATAAATATTTCAAGACAAATTCCCTGGAATTTTATTTTTAAAGGGAAGAACACACTTAGCCCCAGAATATAGATACTATTAGAGGATCATCATTCAAATTTAGATCTTTTTTTTTTTTAATTTCTGCAGCATAACACAGAAATAACTACTGCATCTCTAAGTGACAGCACGGATATTTATATTTGCTTCATTCAAGTTTTCAACCTAAATAAGACTGAAAGACATCTATCTATCTCTATATATATGATGTACAAATCAGACCACAGAAGCTACATCAGGGAAATCCAATACATTTTAGTCAGAATGGAGGCCCTTTTAATATTGTATTTTTGAGTAATCAAATCCAAAATATATGATTGTTTTTTTAAAAGTGGCTTTAATTTGTTAGTAGTGAGTCCAGACATTTCCAAGTTGTCGTTCTTAATAAAGATGGAATTGACGGGGTCTCAGAACTAGGGAGAAATGAATTTTCTATTCCTTTTCTGCCTCGCTGTCATCTTTATTATTGGACCAAACCTATTCCAAATTCTATAGACTATAAGTGAATGATAATGTTCGTGCCGTTCTTATTGTGAATGACTGAGTTCAGACTAATTAAGC